GTAGCCGGAATTACAGGCGCGCGCTACCACACCCGGCTGATTTTTTGATTTATTGTAGAGACGAGGTCTCGCCGCCCAGGCGGGTCTCGAACCCGCGGGCTCAGGCCACCCACTCACCTCGGCCTCCCAAGGCGCGGGATGACAGGCTGAGCCACCGAGCCCGGCTTAATTTTTTATTTATTGTAGAGACAAGGGCTCGTCAAGTTGCCTGGGTGGGTCTCGAACCCGCAGGCTCAGGCAATCCACTGGCCTAGGCCTCCCAAAGGGCTGGGGTTTACCGGCTGAGCCACCGAGCCCGGCCAGGTTTCTGTTTTTTTAAAGAAATAGTCATCCCATGCGTTTTCTAGAGTTTTGTAGTTGAAAAATCGCTTTCCAGAGAAGATCATCATTAATATTACGAGCCGCATTGAGCAGAAGGCTTCGGCCGACCGAATTGTGCTTCCGCCATTTGCCCTGCGTGGCGGTCTTGAGGCAAGTAAGTCTCTTCAGCGCTGAGCTTCAGTTTCTTCGTCTGTAAGGCGGGCGTTCCACTTAAATGAAGTTTCCGCCCGGCCAGAAGCCTGGAAAGGTGGGGGGGTTGGGGGGCCCGGCAGGCCTGCGGAATCCGGCTCCTCCGCCGGCCGGCTGTGTCACACCGGAAACCCCGAGCCAGGCCCTAATGGGCGCGCACCCCGGCCGCTCCTCGTGGCATCTTCCTCTCCGGAGGGAGGCGCATCGGAACCTCAGTTCCGGAAACTAAGCCAAGCCACGGCAAGGCAGGGTGGTTTACCCCCGGCCCCACGGCTCCACGTGAGCGGGACTTGCGCCCAGCAGGCGGATTTCAGCGCCTTCCCCCCAATTCGCCATCAACATCACTCGCCACCGGGCTGATGAGAGGTGGGTTGTGACCCGGGCAAGCCACTGCATCTGGCTGGCTTTCCAATGCAGATGGCTCCTGGCCGAGGCCGCGTGTGCACGGCCTGGGTACGAGCTTCTGGCCGCCCTATCCTCTCCGCCGCGACGCTGCTGCACCCGAGCAGGGTAGGCCTCCGGAAAAGCACTACATTCACGCACTTTACAGACGCAAAAATACGCAGCGGGAGGATTTTGGCTCTCAAGGCTAACTCGGAAAACGGAAACCGGCTGCAGCCTCCCCACCACGACCTCCTGGCAACGGAAGCCCCTCGGCGCCTCCTCCAGCTTCCCTCCAGGTGGCGCCATAGGATCGACCCAGGTTTCCAAGTGCGGCCGCATCAGTTTGGCCTCCCCCGGATGCCATGAAGCGCAGAGAAAAGCGGCTTTGTGGCTAGAGAGGCATTTCCCAGGGGCGGCCCAGGGCGCCGCGTGATTCCATGCGCTTCCGCTTCCGGTTCTTTATTCCGGAAATTGCTTTCTGAGGCGGCGTGCGGGCGTGCGCTTTGTGAGATTATTTCACCATGGCGTACCGTGGCCAGGGCCAGAAAGTGCAGAAGGTGATGGTGCAGCCCATCGTATCCTCCGCTGGATGTCAGGATTAGGAGGTTCGGGCCCGAAAGCAGTGTGCGAAGGCTCAGGCAAAGAGCAGGCCTGAGGGAGCGGAGTACAGACCCACATCCCATGAGCCCTCGGGGCGACGGAGACCGGGAGAAAGCGCGGGTAGTTGAAGGATCGGTGATGGGTGGGAGGTGGGCTTGGGCTGACCCCTGCCTGGGGAGTACATGAGTGAAAGGGGCGAAAGGAGGGAGGAGAGCTTTCAGTAGATGTCGAGTGTAAGCGGAAGTTAACGGACTCGGGGAAGAGGAAGATGTCGGCACAAGGAAACCCCAGCAGAAAGTAAGAGTGGGAAGGGGCTTTCTTCAGAGTCTTTAGGGGACCCGGATCATGCCTACTCGGACACTTTGCGTTTGCGTAGGCACCAGGCCTCGGTTTCAGAAAACGAAGGTGAGCCGGGGGTAGGATCGAACAGCTGTTTAAGTGAGCAGAGACTATGCTGCTTTGTTCTTTTTTCCTTAACCACTGTCGTGCAGAACCTCATCTTCAGATACTTGCAAAACGTACGTAAGTTGTTTGTTGTTCATTGTTTCGTAACTGTTATTTAAACAAAAAGTGAATTTATTTTGGTTATTTTTGTCAATCTCCCTGATCACTGTT